GGGCAGGGCTGATACCACTCATTCCTCAAAAATGCTATGTTTTCAGCCCGCAACAGAACATAGAATACATTAAGGTGAAAACAACTTTGAGGCTTCAGAACCACTTTAAATAAGTAGCACAGTAGCTAAATGGTTAGCATTTCTGCCTGGCAATACTAGGGCTGTTGGTTCGAATCCCAAGCACGGCACCACCTGTCTGGAGTTTGCATGTTCTCCCTGTGCCTGTGTGGGTTTCCTCCCACACATGCTGGTATGTTAATTGGTTCCTGTCTAAATTGTCCCTAGTATGTGTATGTATGAATGTGAGTTAGGGACCTTAGATTGTACACCCCTTGAGGGTTAGGGACTGATGTGAATGTACAATATATATGTAAAGTGCTGTGTAAATTGACAGCGCTATGTAAGTACCTGAAATAAATAAAATAATAATCCATACACTGTCATAAGAGGAGAAGGCTGTAAGAGGAAAGGGGCTGTACTATGGATTTTTTTTTTTGGGGAGTAGTCAAATTTTTTAGAAAATTATTTTAGTAAATATAAACTACCTTTTCTCATCAGCCATACATAGCAGTCTTGTGACTTCTATCAGTGTGCAGAAGAGCACTGGTCAAAGCTTGTAGGAGTTTTCTTTCTGCTCTAGGAGGATTCAGGACCCCGACCTCTGTCTTGACAGCGGTGATTGGCCTGTGCTGTTCACATGCACTCTCCCAAGAAAAAAAAAAAACAGCCTCTCCACCAATACACACCAAACTGAGCATGTGCAGAGTGTCTCCACACAATATGTCTTATCAGGAGATAAGAGGGGACACTGGAACAAGAGGAGGATCAGAGAAAACAGGAACAAACAGCATTTTTACACAATGCAGAGGATTAACCTCTTAGTTTCCACAGAGTGTATAACAAGTGTGCTTTTACTGAATATACAGGCTGATTTTACTGTTGTGGGTTTAGTAAGTGGTAGCCAAGATTAAAAAAAAAGGTTTTCCCCCTGAAAGGCAATATCATCAGGTGCTAGTATGCATTGCATACTAGCACATTATGAAAAACTTTCCTTAAAACACAGCCCTCCAGCAGCACGCTGTTACCACTGATAGGGCTTTCATGTTCTCCAGGTCTTCCTTCCGGGGTTGCTGGCCCCTGACCATCTGACTGGCCGAGCCACAATGATGTCACTTCCGGAGTTTATTACCACTTTGATTTGGTGACAGGGTCTCTTTAATATTATTCTTGAGTTTAGGTTTCACATATGCACTATATGTGCACAATATCAATCAAAACTCCAGAAAATACTTTTTTTTTTTCAATATATTGGTTTTTTTTTTTATTCAAGTTAATAGAAAGAGTGAAAAATAAGAACAAAAGAGTCCATATGTTTTGTATTTTTTTTTATATAAAACACATATTGCAAAACATGTATGAAGGAACATATAAAAATCACATTTAACTATACAAGTCATTTACATAAAGTTCTGTCTTTTGAACAATTATTTACATTGGTTCTTCATATATATTGCAGGCTAAGTGACTAGATTACCCATGACCACTCTCCACGCTCCCACAAAGCTTTGCTGCCAATGTGGGGCATAGAGGGCCATCAAATCCAGTCTGGCAGTGACCTAGCTTTCATTGCAGCAGTATCAAAAGCACATTTTTAATTTTTTTTTACAAATATACTACTTTTTTTTCCAGCAGATCCATCCTATTGTACAGTAAAGAGATGACCAATGTTTTCAAGAGGGTTCCACAATGCAAGAGAGACTTATCAAAACAAAGAACCTCTTATTCATTGATATAAGAATAGCCTCTTATTGGCAAGGTATAATGCCACTTTATAACATTTACAAGACAAAGGCAACAATCATAAGACATAAATACAAAAAAAGATGACGGTGAATCTGCTTTACAAAAACACAAATCAGATTTTGGTATCATAAAAAAAAAAACTCTTTTAGTGCATTTTCGAATTTAGAAAAAGAAAAAAAAAAGAAAATAAATAAAAATGCATTTATAAAAAATAACCTCTTTGAGATTTTGCTCTGTAGCATAAAAATGTACCGAGCCAAGGATGGCATCCATCTTTTTTTTTTTTTTTTTTTTTTTGATATGGGATTTATTTCTACAAAAGTTACTGTCAGCTGCCCTAAAGGGTTGTGTTGTTTGGAACCTCCCAACTCTGCCGAAAAAAAAAACTCAGCAAGACAACAGTGTAATATGATTTTGTAGTGTCCTAATCAGGGGCAGCCTAAAACTCATGGGGCCCCCAGGCCATAGGGGATCATGGGGCCCCTGTGTCCTTGCCCAAACTCAAAAAAGCCTATGAAAAAGGTACCAGGGGCATCTCATGGGGCCCCCTACTGACCCAAGTTTCCAAATGGTCAGTCCGCCCCTGGTCCTAATTTTGCCCAATCTGCCAAAAATTATTTCATTCTGAAAATAAAAATCTTAAAAATGGAAAATAATTTCAAGTCCTTCACATCTGCTAATTGCTTCCCTGACCAATCTTACTATATGAATTAGACCTCATTAAGGTGGTTCTAAAGGCTTTCCTTTTTGTTACCTTAGGGTAAAAAAAAGGCAAAAAAAGTCCCAGTAACAGTATCGCCCCCTCACTCGATCCAGCCCTGTGCCTGTCTGTTGTGTCTCTCTCTCCCAACCCCCAGTTTTCACAGGTTTTGCTGAGTCAGTAAGAGCCATTGTCTCCCACTGCTGTCAGTCAAATCCTGTGGTAAAGGAGTGGGGCCAAGCCTCGCTATGTGTCAATGGACACACAATCCGGCTGTGGAGGGCCAGGTGCGCCATAATAGAAAGCGGATTCCTATGTTGACACATCAAGTAGAAAATGAGCCTAGATTGCTGGCGGGGGACCCCATAAAAAGAGGTTTAGGGCTACTCTGTGCAATAGCATTGCATAGAGCAGGTAAGTATAACATTTTTATTATTTTAAAAAATAAAAATTTACTACCACTTTAAACATGGTGTTTGAAGAATTGTGTCCTAAATGCCAATGGAAAATTACATTTTTCTTTTTACTCCTTTAAAACCAGTACTATTTTCCTGATATTTTGTGCCCTGCAGATTCAATAAGCAGTGTTTTCATTTGCTGAGCAATACAGTATTGAATTAGGATAGTAATATTAGGCTAGACCAGCCATACTCAACCAGGGTTCTGTGGAACCCTAGGGTTCCTTGAGAGGTTGCTATGGGTTTCTTAAGCTGTGACCGATTGACCTACTGTCTGCATAGTTCTGGGACCAAGACCACTTGGCAGAATCCATGACGTGACATCAATGAGATTGTATTTGTCTGGGTGGCTTTTTGACCACCAATGTAAGGGGTATTTTTCTCATTGGAGCCTGATGAATTGCTGTTAGAGGTTCCTCTGGGGTAAAAGGTTGAGAAAGGCCGAGCTAGACAGACTGGCTATCCGTCTTCCAGATTCTAGAGCTGACTTGATGGCCAATATGCATTTGTTCTTGACAATGCCCATAGGTACCAAACATTAAAACACAGCACGAATCAACTCATTAAAAGTAGATCTAAACCCATTCGTTAAGAATCTAATGTTCTATAAAGATAAAATAATCTCTGGTGACCCTAACATTAAGGGTCCTTGTTCAGACATTTCCTGTAATAACTCTCCCCCAGCTGTGCCCCTATATTTGACACCCTATCATATGCACCCATGATTGAGGCTACAAGCGGCTGTGTATCAAAATTGGAAGTAGGTCCATTGAGGTGCAACCGACACTGGGGGGGAGTGCATGTAGAACAGAAGTGGCTGAAATAGACTGCATGAGATGCAAAATAGGGTGAAAACAGTATTTTATGGGAAAAAAAACTCAACAACCCTTCATAATACACCGAGCTTTACCAAACTAAGTGCCATGTGGTTAGGGTTTCGATTTACTTACAACTCCTTTTCCTAATATTGACATTTCCACCATTAGTCGTTTAATGCTCAGCGATAAGATAAGATTGATTACGAATTATGGAAAATGGGCAGTTGAAATTAACTGCTCTTGTAAAAAACTAATTCATTATTTAGCAAGTCAGACAATCTGGTCATCTGTATATTTAAAGCTGAAGCAGTCACATGCTGATATTTGTATGATATGTTATTAGAAAAAAAAAGAAAGGTGGGAATATAAAACTATCCCCTTCACTCCGCAGCCGCAGTTACTCCAGTTTAAGGCGGCGAGGAATAATATTGCTCGATATCCCAGTTATGCTACCAAATTCTGAATTCCCAGAATGCCCTGCCAACCAGGGAGCTGTCCACACTCTAGTATTTTATTTTCCCTTTTAGCTTTCATTTAATACTGGTTAAATCACAAAAAAAGAGAGTGCTACATGGATGCTGAGGGGTTCGGCACCCGTGATATGTTCAGTGTTCGTTTTAAGCTGCCATTAGGTTTCTTCGAAGAGATACATGCCATTCCACCATCTTGGAGGTGGTCACATGTGGCTATAAGCAATAAAGTACTCCCTAACAAATAAAGGGAATATAAGAACTGGCTCAGTTCTCTATAATGTCTTTTTAGGAGTGCAAATTGTGAGAAGGGAAGGTGTTGGTCCTGAAGAAGACTCCATGTTCATGGCTTCTCCACCATTTGTGAATTCACAGAAATGAAAGTGGTTTTAAAAGACCTTATGCTAGGCTTTAAATAAATTCTTATGGTTGGTTAAAGCCCAGAAAATGATCCAGAGGTCATTTTTCAAAGTAGTTGGAGTCACTCAAAATCTAGCATGACTTTGAAGGATCTCTAGATAAACTCTCCAGTCTTTCAAGACTTATGTTGTAGGAGCAATGTCCGGAGACCTGAAGAGTCATACTTTAGCTAACAAAAGGTGAAGTAATGGCCTTGGATTCCTGAAAGAAAGCTTTTAGGTTCTCACAAGCTTCTGAAAATTAAGTTGATGGCCAACAGGCTATTCAGCCATACAATAGATTCCTTCCTTTCTGTGGAGATTAGAAAATGTCCACAATTTTCATTGTAACCTCAGTCTAGTGCTATCTCACATGGGTTTTCGTGGGTCTCCTTTGATGTTTCGTATACTCTCTTGAAGTCTTTATAGCGTGGAGCACAGCCTAACCAGGCATCACCAAAGTGTACCCATCCCATAAACAGAAAACTGCCTGGTCCAGGTCGGACCCCGCAGCTGAGAGGGGTCTTAATATCTCCGAGTGATTTTACAGAGTGTCCTCGGGGTTGAAACAATGTGAACTTCTGGCGATAGACCCTCGTGGCACTGACTGCAATCACAGATTCTTGCACGTCCTTGTCATTGAACACTGTTCGGATGTTGCCACGCACAACTGCAAAAAGAAGAAAAGCAAGTGAGCACATTAATGCCAAGATTTTGAAATGTTCAACAAATTGCTGCTGTTGTCTCAGCATAACATAAAATCAAATGTTCACCTTTTTTTTCAGATGCGTATTTAAAAATAGTGAACTATTCATTGAAATAATATTAAGATATCAAGGCTTATATGAGAGTTTTAGAGAATGAAATTAGATCTACTTAAACAAAAAATGCAAAAACAATAATTACTATCTCTTGTCTGTCCTAAACAAACCAGAAAATCAAATTTTTAGACTTAGAGCATCACCATAGACATTCCAAACCTGAGGCCTACACAGAAGGTTTAAGCCTTTCCCTCGGGCCGCATTGCCAAGGAAACTGAGTCTACGCAGATACCCCCCCTTCTGCACAGACAATCTCTCTTCACTCTTTATTAGGATTCAGCAGGGGGCAAAGGAGGCTTAGGTAAGAGCTCAGAAGAAAATAGGCAATAGGGGGTTGGGGATGGACTGAACGCTTGACTGAGTCATTATTGCATTCCACTGAGTCAAGCCAAGCCAAGCCCATGACTTAAGACTACAAAATATGCTACTTATGCTGGAGGGTTTTGTCAAAAAAATGCCTAACTAATGTTAAAGCTATTTTTAAGTGGATGGCAACACGGTATGAGATTGGAGATAACAGCTAAAACATTGGTGTTCAAGGCTCTACTGAGGACAAGTTGCTTTGTAGCCAGTTTTGTAGAAATTCTTTAAAAAGTTGCACATTCATTATTTGCTGTATCAAAAAAAGTATGCAGGATATGATGAGAGAGAGGTGACAATACTCTTTGTTCCTGTCAAGCGATGGAGCCAACATTTTTTACGCTTAGTGAGCAAAATCATTTCATTATGGCATAAAAATTTGGCTTCAGCTGAACATAGAACCATAGAAGAGAGGCAGCAGAAAAAGACCAAGTGCTCTATAACCTTTATGTCTGAGTATAGATCTATGTCTGTCCCAATCATATGTAACTTCACTTACTGTTGAATGACTCACTACCTCTGCTGGAAGTCTGTTCCAAACATCAACTACTTTTTTGGTAAAATTTATTTATTTCAGGTACTTATATAGCGCCGTCAATTTACGCAGCGCTTTACATATATATTGTACATTCACATCAGTCCCTAACCCTCAAGGGGTATACAATCTAAGGTCCCAAACTTACATTCATACACATACTAGGGACAATTTAGACAGGATCCAATGAACCTACCAGCATGTCTTTGGAGTGTGGGAGGAAACCCATGCAGGCACAGGGAGAACATGCAAACTCCAGGCGGTGGAACCGTTGCTGGGATTCGAACGAGCGACCCTAGTACTGCCAGGCAGAAGTGCTAACCATTTAGCCCATGTGCCGTCCTAAAATAATGCCTTTTGATAATTCTAATACTTTTGTACTTTACTCATGCTAGTTTGAGGTCATGTCCTTGATCTTGATCGAGAAAATACTGATTTTCTGAATCTTATTTCGCACCCTTCCTGTAGCCAAAGGTTTCACGTCCCCCTTTTCCTCCTTTCTTTAAGTCTGTACATGTCACGTTCCTTCAGTCTCTCCTGAAATATTTTATCTTTCAGACCTTTCACCATTTCTATTGCTTTTGTCTGGATACATTCTTATAAATATCTTTTTGTAATCAAGGTCTCCAGAAATGGACACAGTATTCTATATAAGGTCAAAATTAAATTCTTATAACCTAAATAGAGAATTCTAAAATCTATATAGAGGAATTAGGACCTCCTTCCTCCTGTTGGTGATCTCTCTAATGATAACTAAATAACTATATAGTGCAGTCTTTTTTAACTTTTTCAAGCCAAAGGAACCCTTGAAATAAATTTCAGGTCTCTGGGAACCCCTGCTCAAAGGAATCTATCAGCCGTCAATGAGATGAATGCTCTCCTTATAGTGGTGGTTAGAATGCTACCTTTACAGACAGCTAAAAAGATCATTGGTGTCATTCCGCTGGCATTGTTAAGTGGTGTTCTTCCCAGAACCATGCAGGCACCTTTAGACTGGAGGTCAATCAGCCACAGCTCAAGGAACTCCCAAGCAACTTCTGGAGCAACTCTAAGGTTCCATGAAACACTGGTTGACAGTGGCTAATATAGAGGAATCTGGACTTCTTTCTTCCTACTGGTGAATCCTATAATGATAACTAAAGATCTATATAGAGGAAATAGGACCGCCTTTCTCTTGATGGCAGTCCCTCTAGTAATAATCAAAGATTTATATAGAGGAATCAGGGCCGCCTTTCTCTTGATGGCAATCCCTTTAGTAATAATCAAAGATCTATATAGAGGAATCAGAACCTCCTGCCTCCTGGTAGTGATCCCTCTACTGATAGCTAAAAATCTATATATAGCAGAATCAGGACCTCCTCCTTCCTGCCGATGATCCCTCCAGTGAGAACTAAAGATCTCTATAGGGCAATCAGGACCTCCTTCCTCCCGCCGATGATCCCTCTAGCGATGACTAGAAATCTATATAGGGCAATCAGGACCTCCTTCCTCCCACCGATGATCCCTCTAGCGATGACTAGAAATCTATATAGGGCAATCAGGGCCTCCTTCCTCCTGCCGATGATCCCTCTAGCGATGACTAGAAATCTATATAGGGCAATCAGGGCCTCCTTCCTCCCACCAATGATCCCTCTAGCGATGACTAGAAATCTATATAGGGCAATCAGGACCTCCTTCCTCCCACCGATGATCCCTCTAGCGATGACTAGAAATCTATATAGGGCAATCAGGGCCTCCTTCCTCCCACCAATGATCCCTCTAGCGATGACTAGAAATCTATATAGGGCAATCAGGACCTCCTTCCTCCCACCGATGATCCCTCTAGCGATGACTAGAAATCTATATAGGGCAATCAGGACCTCCTTCCTCCCACCGATGATCCCTCTAGCGATGACTAGAAATCTATATAGGAGAATCAGGATCACCTTCCTCCTGCCGGTTACCCCTCTAGTGATAACTAAATATCTATATAGGGGCAATCAGGACCTCCTTCCTCCTGCTAATGATCCCTCCAGTGATATAATATAAGAGAAAGGTACTACTAGGAAAAGTAACACATTACAGGAGACACCATAAGGAGTTTATACTCTACATCCTCACCTCAATTTGCCCCCAAACTGGATGAAGAACACTTGATGGGAAAAAATGTCTTCCCACAATATAGAGCTTGGTGCTAGATTGGCCAATCAGTAGACCCCAGTACATGGAATCAAGGAAACATGCACAAAATTGTGCAAGTTTCAACTTACTAATCAAGCCAGAAGACAGCAATTTTAAGTTGGTTGACAGCAGAAGGAAATGGGGAGAAGGTAAATGTATGTCTTTATGACCCTTCCTATAAAAAGCACCTGTGTCTCATCCTAGTATGGGCAAATCACAGGTTTACTTTGAAACTATGCAAGATGATGAACTTGACATTTACTCACCAAAGTCACTAGTGCAGACAGCCATTAAGATTTCTGTGTCGTTGCAGGGGCGACAGGCACCTATGCAAAAATTTGAAGACAATAGACATTAAGTCCAGGATACACAATAAAATTAGTTGCATATTAAATAATAGATTTTGAGTTTCAAGGGGCTGCCTCTGGTTTATGATCTTCTTCTACAAGTCAAACACACACATACAGGGGCGGACTGACCATTTGGGAACTCGGGCACTGCCCGAAGGCCCGGGGTCAGTAGGGGGCCCCATGAGATGCCCCTGGTACTTTTTTCATAGGCTTTTTTGAGTTTGGGCAGGACACAGGGGCCCCATGATCCCCTATTGCCCGGTGCTCCATGAGTTGTCAGTCCGCCCCAGCACACAAATGCATTTGCTTCCCCCCAATACAATAAACAACTCATACGTCCATTGGGAGTGATTGTGTAAGAGAAAAGAATGAGTCTGGCTGTACCAACCATTGTCCTAGTGCAGACATGACAAACTGAAGTATTTTGGGTGGCTATTGGGCATTTTTTTTTAGCTATTTATTTTTAGTTATGGGTAGAGTGGGGAAGAGTAAACATTTCTTTTAGGTTTTAGGTTCATATTTGTCTGTGACCCCACAGGGAAGATCTTTCCTCACGTCCTGTCCCTGCAACATATGTACAAGAAATGGGGAGGTCGGTTGTGATCAGGACAGGAAGGCAAGGACAGCAATAAAAAGTTCTAACACTTCTCTACTTTATCCAAAAAATGTTTTTTTCATCTGTGTCCCCATTAGAGAGGTTTGCCATCACTTCCTCTCCTGGCGTAAAGTCATTGTGAATTAGGAACATAGAAGTGACCGCAGAATGAGACTTTAAGTCCATAGAATCTGCTCTTTTTTGTTTTTGATTGTTTTGCCCTTGTGCTTTGTTTAAAGATTTGTGTCTGAGGATAGACCCTTCCCAATAGGGATGCAGATGGCTATAAAGTCTGGCAGAGAATCTAACCCCCTCCTGCCCCATACGACATGCGGTAACATGCATTCTGTTCTCATTCTTTTTGTATGCCGCAATGTACAGCAAACCATTCCTTCTGTACTGAAGTGTATTGTAATTGTCTCCCTTATACTGTAAAGCGCTGCACAAACTGTTGGCGCTATATAAATCCTGTGTGTTGCATTACAAAAAAAAAAAGAATTATTTGCATTTTTGGGCACGTTAGGGTGCTTTGGAAGTCCTTTAATTGCCCATTCAACACACTTTAACACACAATATAATAGGCGTTAACCCACCACTAAGCAATAAATAGGTCTAGAATAAAACTCCAGTGGGCTCAATTCACAAAACAGTATCTACCACTTTAAGATCAGCGGTAAAAAAAAGCTCCGAGCGTTTTTCAAAATTTTTTTGACATTCGCTAAAAAAACACTCCTAAAATACTGCATGTGCTATTTCATGAAGCGATATCGTAATCTAGTAATGAAAACTTGCGGTGTTTTAGTGCCGGCACTCATCGGTGTCCTTAATAACCAGTGAATACCTGGATGTTATGGACACGGCAGGTTCCGGCTCCTTAACAACCAGCTGAAAATGTATACATTCTTTAAATTTTGCATGCCTGGACCACTACTTATTTAATGCACGCATTTCATTACTTCCTTAACTGAATTGACTTCAGCATTTTTTTTATGTGGTGTTTACAGAGTGCTTTTGCTTGTTGAGGTAACTACATAAAGGGACATTGAATTGACATTGTATTGCATGCAATATTTGAGAAAAATGTGCCAGGTGACCCAGATACCTCATGTGATAACCTTTTGTGAGTTGAGCCCATAGTCTAGAGTTAGGGTTTAAATACTTCACAAATATTTTTTCTCTATTCTCTGGATATATGACTGTATGATACACTATATTATTATTATGTTAATTTATTTTATCTAACGCAATTTAATTCTCCTTTTATTTTTTACTTGCCTGTGGGTCAATTTTAGAGCAAAGATGAACCACACCGGCAAAGTTCTGGTGTATATTACCCCATTGTAGGACTCATGGCCTTCTAAGTGTCAAACCTTCTAGTCAAGGAGACCAACTGGGTGTTATTAATTGGGGATTCTGGATCATTCTGGATCATTAAACCAGTAAAACAAAGAATAAGATTCAAAGCGCAGCAGCCAATTAAAATCTATCCTACTTTTCTTGCTTCATTAAAGTAAATGCATTGTAATCCTCACTCCTTGCCTTAAGACCATCAATATATTTTACAAGGTTTTAGACATTTTGGAGATTCTAATAGTTGGGGATTTTCAGAAAATGTTACACTTATAGTGGTGGATTGTTCCTGATTCAGCTTTTGGTGGTCCTCAATTTTGATATGACGGGCACCATGGTGCCTTGACACTCCAAGCCAAAACATAAAATTTTTCAATCAACCCTAGAGCTTCCATATACACACCAGAGTGTTCAAACAAAGCTTTGTATGTTGGCTAATTTTAGGACTGAATAAGTATCTGTGCTGGAAATCAAAGGACCTGTCAGTTGTCATGGTAGCATGCCCCTTCCTCTGCTTCTTATCTGGCTAATTAATGGGGTTAATGGTTATATCCTTAGGCCCAGCAGGACACTGCCCTGTTGTTTAGAGAGGGAAAGGAGGGGGGGGGAGGGAAGAAACTTCAAAACACTTCTACCTCCCCCCACCAGGCTTCACTTGGTGGACTGCTGCTAAGGCCCAAACCCATTCACTATGCTGTGATAAATTTGCATTACTAATGTTAGTGAGAGTCGCACCCCAGGATGCCAGTATTGGTAAAGGATTACGCTGCTGTATGGGGGCAGTATACAGGTAAAGGATTATGCTGCTGTATGGGGGCAGTATACAAACATCATGTCTTCTTCTTGATTATGTTCTTTCCTTAGCACCCGTGCTTGGAAAATTCTCCCTGGAGCATTGGAAAATGAAGGTCCACATCACTTAGACTCAAAGAATGATAATGTAAATTCTTGTCAAAGTGCCCAAGGACTCCAGCCAAGAGAGGGACAAGTTTTGTTAATGGCAACCTGCAAAGATACCGACACGCAAGGAGCTTTGCTAAGTAATGACACCTGGGGCACTGGTCCATCCAAGTACCCCAGGTCTTCAACCAAGTGCCCCAGGTCTCCATCCACGTGCCCCAGGTCTCCATCCAAGTGCCCCAGGTCTCCATCCACGTGCCCCAGGTCTCCATCCACGTGCCCCAGGTTTCCATTCAAGTGCCCCAGGTCTCCATCCAAGTGCCCCAGGTCTCCATTCAAGTGCCCCAGGTCTCCAGCCAAGTTCCCAAGGTCTTCAACAATGAAACAAAGCATATGTATCTCTTACATAAGCAACAAAACTAATATTACAGTTCTTGGCAAATCATCATGCCTGCTTCCACCAAAGACACCTGTGCTGAAATTTTTCTAAGGTTCTTGGTTCTGCTGCTTTCGCAATAGATGCCTCAGTTATGCATAGCTAGTAATATTTTACCACAGGGTTCCCCGAGAGCTTTAAGAACCCAATAGGTGGTTTTGCTTACACCCCCACACAAAAAAACTGAAGTTTGAGATTTGGGTGAGGTTGATCTTAAACAATTTATGCAAACGTTTTTCCCACATTCACACTATGTGAGATTTAGCCATGCATACTGTTTAGTGTTTATGGAGGGAATGATGAGAAATCTTGGAGTGTATGACCAGCGTTACATCACTTCCAGCTATCTCTGTGAATTACAGAACAACCCTCTCCCAATGTTTTGCAGAAGAGGAGAGTGGGAAGTGTTCTGTATTCCTGCCCTAAGGTGACAGCACTGTTCCTTCATATACAGTACAGTAAATGAGTATTATCACCCTAGGACAGGAAGTGTGTTGTTGGCAGGATAACCAGGTTAAAATAAAAGAAGTGAGCCTAAAAAAAGCTGCAATATATTACATTTATGTATTTGGGTTTATATATGCTTTAATGGGTAATGTATTTCCAACAGAAAGAGCTCAGATAGGAAGAAGTTAACACTCTACTCACCCTCCATGCTTAGCTTGTTAAGAGGTAGAGCTAACTGTCCATCCCAGTCACTTCTAAGCTCATAGCGGAAAGAAGCGATGCGTCGGCTAATGTCCTGGTGAGGGGTGGCTTGCAGAAAGAGTGCTACCTTCTGGTGGGGATGCCAACTAAAGCAATGGACCCTGGAATGTGGGGATGGCCCTGTCTCTGATAGCAGTAGCTCCAGCATGCCTTCTTTTTCCAAGTACAGCTGTGCCCCTCGGAATGTGACTACTGGCTTGATACAGGCTGTGAAACGGCTGGGCCCAGACCCCGGAGAGGCCAAGGGCTGCCGGGGTACCAGGCTGAGGCGTAGAGCTCCTGTTGGGTATAACCATTCCACTGATCCCTCTGCACAGCGCAACAAGACTTGCTCCACAGATCTGGGTTCCAGCGACAGACCACTGCAGATAAAAGAAGATGATAAAGCATAAGAATTTGAATTGGTGATCATCATCGTCTCAAAACTAAATAATTTTCTGCTTCATTTACAGTTTCATAAAGAGGAGACAGTGTAGCCCTTAATAACATCATCCTTAATCATCTAATACAAAGGGTAAACTGGTTACCATAAAACAAAGCAACTGGCAAAAATAAAGAATTGAGAGGGACAAGTTTTGTCAATGGCAACCTGCAAAGATACCCACACACAAGGGGCTTTGCTAAGCAATGACACCTGGGCACTGGTCCATCCAAGTACCCCAGGTCTTCAACCAAGTGCCTCAGGTCTCCATCCAAGTGCCCCAGGTCTTTGACCAAGTGCCCCAAGTCTCTATCCAAGTGACCCAGGTCTTCATTTAAGAGCCCCATGTCTCTATCCAAGTGCCCCAGGTTTTTGGCCAAGTGTCCAAGGTCTCCATGCAAGTGCCCAAGGTCTCTAGTCAAGTGTCTTAGGTCTCATAGTTACTATCTCTAAAATGTTCATGTCTAGGACAGCAGAGAGAAAAAACATTGATCTGCTCTTTATCAAGGGGCAATACTCAAAGTGCCAGGAAGAGGAAGGGACACTGGTAGTATGGATAAAGAAAGGAACAATAAAAGAAAGTGTTCTCCCTGAAGCCAATCCATTCTGGGCATTATTGTAATTAATAATATTGAGTAACTGAGATTTTTTTTTTCATCTTTGATATGAGACAATTAATGTGATCGTATAATGAGCAAAGTGTACTTTTTCCTCAACTAAATATGTGTTTGACCAGTTCTGTCAAGAAACAAGGCAGACTGACTCATAATTTGATTTACAACTTTGTTTTTTGTGTTAGAGCAATTACCAGCATTTTCAAATATCTATGTAAAAGCTACAGGAGTGCATAAGTGCACAAAGAGATTTGTGCCACAGAAAAGATATCTTCTCAAAGAACATTTCCCAGTAATGACCCATCCTGCTGAACAGAGGCATTCTCCAGTGAGCCTCCTTGAGGCCAGCTTACAAGCACGTGTCAAATGTTATGGGTTTTGTGTGGTTATGGAAATTGGTGCAGACATTATCCTAAATCAGCCATTCTTAAAAGAGAAGTATGGGAACTCTTTTTTTTTTTTTTTAAATCATACTAACCTAGGTGGATACAGCTTCGCTCCAATGCTGCATCTGTCCCCCACCAGCTCCAAAGGTGAGAACTCAGCGATCACATGACTGCTGATCGCTGAGTTTTAACAGCCATTCTGAGCAGAGAAGGACCTCTCCCCAGCTTGGATCGGCTGACTGGCATTAGCTGACAGTGGGCTTCAGCTCACTGTCAGCTAAAAACGTTTGTTCTGCACTCCTGTGATCTATAAGGGAAGTACAGCCAAAAGAGCTTTGGCTGTACTTCTCCTTTAACAAGGGTTCCTCCAGATTTTGCTAGGGCTTGCATGGCAGTGGCTGACTGGGCTCCTATCTGAAGGTGCCTGCATAGTTCCATGGCCAATACCACTTGGCAGAGCCAGAGGCATCTTTTCAACTTCTGTAAGAGTGGTATTCTGACCACCATGTAAGGGGCATTTTTTTTCTACTGATCTTCAATGATTGGCTTTAGTAGGGGTTCCACAAGACCTGAAAGTTATCTTAAGGGTTCCCATGAGGTAAAAAGGCTGGGAAAGACTGTCTTAAATAATGTGTGTTGCAGTTGTACATCAATGGGTCAATGAACACTGTGGACTAGGTGGAGTCTGGTGGGCTTCATAAAGCCCCTTGGAAATCCAATGGAGCAGCCTTCCCTACTTTTACTACCATAGGAATTTATTTATGATTCCCTGTTGCATTCCTTACAGTATAAAATAAACTGAAATCCAAAAAGAAGAGTGGACCCATGGAGTGGATCTTAGGTCCCATTTTTACATAGGCATGTGTCTTTAACATTGATGGAGGCTTTATTTTTGGATGGAGTAGGGAAGGGTTAAAATCTCTATTATGTTTCTACTTCTGTCTGTGTCCCTGACAGGAAGTCTCTACTTGTCGCAATGATGGGTAAATCCAAATTTTGAGTTGTCCACAGAATGAGGGAAATCTTCAAATGGAGGCATTAGTTCCAGTGACCCTTTAGAGTAGCCTTTCTCAACCTTTTTACCCCAGAGGAACCCTTGAAAAAATATATAGGTCCCAGGAGACCCCTGCTAAAAACAATTCACCGGAGGTCAGTTTGACAAATGCCCCTTACACTGGTGGCCAGTGGAAAAAATGCACCATACAGTGGTGGTCAAGTGACATTAGCCCTGAAACTATGAAGGCACCATCAGATGGGAGATCAATCATCCACAGCTCAAGGATCCTCTGCAACAACTGGAGAAACCCTAGGATTCCATGGAACCCCAGTTGTGAATGGATGCTTTAGAGAGATTCCTTCTCACTTCCTTTTGTGTCTGTATGACATAAAGGAAAATATGCCCAACTGGAAAAACTTCCAATTTTAACTAAAAACTGGGATTTTAACTATTCCCTACTCTATCAAAAAAAAAAGAACTTTAGATTTAACTAATGAGCTTCAAGGTGCCAAAAAAGGTACTTGGCTTATTTTTGGCCAATACATTGCAACGAACATGGTACATTTTAAAGGGTTAGGCATTACGTTTACTAGGTTGATGTGTGAGCAGGGGCGTATTTACCACAAGGCAAACAAGGCACTTGCCTAGGGTTGAATTTTTCAGGGGGGCAGCACCTCCCCCTAGAAGTAGGGATGGAAGAAGGGACATGCACGCCATGGGAACCAGGTGGGATTCGGGGGCTGCTTGATGGTGTATGTAGAGCCTGACTCTCGTTCCTGGGGATGTCCGGAGCTGTGAAGATGACTGTCTTTATCTCTATCTCGGGGGGGGTGGGGTGGGGGGGGTTTTGAGTGGAAGGCTCTCCCAGGTGAGGGGAAGGGGTGTTTTGGTGGTCAATGTCAGGCTGTCTCTGCGGGAGGGGGAATGGGGGGGTGGTGTTTGTTTATGTCCATGGGGGCAGACGATATTTTGTGTTGCCTAGGGCAGCACAAAACCTAAATACACCACTGTGTGTGAGGCCTAGTAGTACAATGGTATACCCCTTTACAGGGGAGACAGAGCTGGTCCTACTGTATTTGGCCTGGTCAGGCATGCTGTATAGAGGGGAGGTGACCCTGTATTAGGTGGGCGAGCCTTTCAGGCAGGCTGTTTAGGTTATCATCATAGGGGGGTAGAGCTGGCCCTTCTGTACTGGGCCCAGTCAGGCATGCAGTATTGAGGGGGGGGTCCTGTCAGGCAGACTGTATGGGGTAGGGGAGCCTTTCAGACAGGCTGTATAGGTCATCACCATAGGGGGGTGTAGAGCTGGCCCTTCTGTACCGGGCCCAGTCAGGCATGCAGTATTGGGGGGGGGGGGTCCTGTCAGGCAGACTATATGGGGTAATGGAGCCTTTGAGCAGACTGTATGGGACATCATGCTTTCTAATGGTGGCCCTGCCCTCTCTAAAACGCATGCTAAATTAAAGTGAAATAAGTCACACATCTGCCACATCCTTTTTTAATTTCTTCAAAAGGCTTTATTGCAATTTGTACACCTTCAGAAAGCCAAGTCAAAGCACATAGCTCTCTGCCAGACCCTGCTCCTTCTCCTCTGATGCGATTCACCCCGACAGCAAAGGCATAATCATACAGGTCAACTCGAATTGCAATGCGTTTTGTATTGAATGTCAACAAGTGTCATGATGCATATCACTGCATCATGGTGCTCTATGACGCGCCAACCTGCATCTTAATGCACGTGCTGAGATGCATTTTGATGCGTTTTACTGGACTTCAATAGAAAACGCATCAAGCAAATATGCAAAGATGTGAATCTAGCGGGCCTATTTACACTGTTGCACTAGACCATGCTAAAATTCATATGTTCAGGTTCCTCATAATGGCAGTGCCTGTTCCCAACTCTCTGCTGCAGTGCAGTGCATTTTGCAAATACATGTCTGGGGTTTTTTTTTTTTTTTTTGCATTTTTATGTGTTGGTAACCCCCTAGAAGTTAATAGCAATTCATCAATATAGCACGTGTTTTGATATGTTGGCAACGAGTATCACCAAGTCTTGGTCAATGGCTGGTAACCCTATCCAGTCCAGATTCTAAATTCCAAAACACACTGGAAACGCGCGCCAAAGTGCGTCAACAAGGCATGCCAATGCAAAAAAGAAAGGCACGTTGACACATGATAAGGCACCTACCAATGCTACAAATAATGCATCTCTATGCCAATGCACTAATGCAGTGGTGTATTTAGGTTTCGTGCTGCCCTAGGCAAAACAAAAATTGGCTCCCCCATTGACATTGACCAACAACACCCCAGCCCCCCTCCACCCGAAACAGCCTTCCACTTCCACCGGGCAACCCCCCACCCCACCGCTTCGGACATCTCCGGGAACAAGAGTCAGGCTCTGCATACACCATCAAGCAGCCCGCAGCCTCTCTCAGATCCCACCTGGTCCCTGTGCTGCGTGTGTCCCTTCTTCCATTCCCTCTTTCAGAGGATAGCGCTGCCCCCCTGAAAAACACTGCTTCCCCCCCCTGAAAAATGCCGCCCTAGGCAAATGCCTTGTGGTAAATACACCCCTGCACTAATGGACTCTCAAGTGCTGGTGAATGTCATATTCATTGCTTTATAAATATACCCCATTGGGCCAAAGGGTGAATGGGCCCTATATATATATTTATATATATACACATATATATTATTATATAGGATTTACATACATGCACACACATAGAT